TATTGACTTTCTGCTGGCCGCAGCAAGGATGCGCCAGGACTCGCACTGAGTATTTTAAATGCATTCAATAAATGCCAAACAATAAACGAACCTGAGCTTCTTTTGCAGTCATTAATTAATTGAAATGCATTTATTTATATATGTATATACAAATTTCCGTTTCTCAATCCAAACTTTTTTCATTTCCATTCATTTATTTTTGCTCCGGCTTAATTTACTCTTTTTCTATATTTTATTCAACTCATATTTACTTTGCATTATATTTTCACTTCTTTTATTTTTATTCTTCATTTTGCATATGCATCTTATCTGTCGCTCAAAAACAGGAATTAAACCAAATATGAAATATTTATGCAATGCTTTAGTTCGTTCTTTAGTCAAATTTTATAAAATACTTTCAATAAATTCCTGGCAGTTTTAAAATAACAGCTTTAAAGCATTGAAGGCCGCAAATACAAATGTTGCTTTAAAATTCATTCAAAACATTTCCAAACTCTTAATCTTAATTCTCCGAAATAATTCATTTATTCATTTTCTTCATAAAATGTAATCGAAAAACGGTCGAATTATATAACATTTATTTATATAATGCTGGTTTTGGTAACCTTTCTATTTATAAATCTTTGTTTAGCTGGCTCGAGGTACGAACTTTTAGCCAGCAAAACTAATATTCATAATTATAATATATTTTTATTTTTATATTTATTATTATATATTGTTTTAATATATTTTAATATTAATCTTTTTTTTATGGTACTTTTTTGGTGTATAACTAAAAGTTATAATATAATATTATTTATAATTATATTTTAAGAAATTATCTCTTAGATTGTAATAATTTTGATTTAATTCGTTTTTAATAATGTTCTTAAGTACTTTATCTCCTAGATTATTTATTATTGCATTGTATTAAGGTCCCTACACTTTCTCTGCATTTATACACGCTTGTTACTTTGTTATGCTCAGTAGCTACGCAAAGCTTGTTGAACCATTGTTAGCATCATACCATATTTGCTTGTATGCAAGCCCGAAATGCCAAGAAATACTCAACATTGAGTATTTGCTGCTAACTTGGTCCGAACTGAATGGCAGGCAAACGAAGCCGTAGCACGAGGTGGCCGAAATCCCTCAATGCTTGAGCAGAGAAGTTGCTAAAGTTGCTGCGTCGAGATCAAAAGCGTATTGGTCTATTTGCATACATTGATACTATATAAGCCAAAGGAACAGCAACCGCAATAATAATAATAATATTGTGAGCTCTAATAACTAAGCCTTTTCGGCAAAAGCTGTTTATTTAATGGCCAACTCGCAGGCAGCTCCTTCAATAGGCTAACAACATTTAAATAAATATTTAAAAAAGTTTTTGCCCGGCCTACGGGCAGTTACCTGCACAGCATATTGAATGAGCATTTCGCCGAACATACACATCCGCAGCCGCGACCGCCACCAATTGAATTACCTGGAAATTGACTGTTGTGCGGAATGTGTAAAATTGTCTCGAACTGCGAGTCGATGCGGTTTTTGGCAAACGCTTAACTCGCATACACAAATCCATCATCCAGCTGCGAGGTAAAAGCGTGCCGCAAAATGCAAACAAAAATTGTGTAGCACAGTGTAGCGCATTCGTGCAGTGCCTACCACAAATTGCAATTAGTGTCTCTCTGTTGATTGATAGTCGAGTTAAATTTCTCTGTGTGACATCTTACGGAATTTAAAACCATACAATATTACGTAATATTGTATGCCTCGCGATTTACGCATTGCTCCCTTCCCTGCTTGTCAAATTTAAGTAGCTTAGCACAATTAAATCGTAAGTTAAAGATTATAATTTTCTCTCTCATTCGAATATTGTCGCTTCGAGATTCTCAAGCGAATAAAACAGCATTTAAAATATAAAAAACGATGAAAGCTTTAAAGCAGCCGTTTGGATAATTAGTTTGCAATTAAGCACGTTAAAGCATGCTGAACATTTTAAACAACAGCTTTAAAAGCACATGAAAGCGTAAGAATGGTTCATATAAGCATAAATTCTGAGCTTCAAAAGAAAATAAAAGCTTTTTGCACTGAAGTCTTTCAACAAAAAGCTCATTAAACACTTCATGTAAGCAATGAGATATAAAATCACATAAAAGCTTCGACAAATATACGAACAATATTTAGCGCTAAAAGCCACCAACGTAAGACTGGTATAAAAATCAAAGAAAGTGCTGTAAAATATTAGAGAATCTGCGAGCATAATATATGAAGTGTTAAATCAAGTGGAATTACAAAGGCCCGAATTTTTGCCTTTCTCTTTTTGTTAAAGGTCCTTGAAGCCATATCTTAAAGCTTCAAATTTCTCATTGAATCGTCAATTAAATAAGCTGAAAGCCGAACTAGTCAATTTCACAAGTCACTTTGAGTGCTCATTATGTATATCAGCTCTTCAATTAACTGAACTGAATTTTCATGTTTATGCATACATATTTGGTATGTTAACATATATCTAACGTATAAGTTATCCAAAGAGCGATACTTACATTATTTAATTAGGCAAAATATTTCAATTGGGATTTGTTAAATGGCAAATGCAAATGCCAAAATTAGCTCATTACAAGCTGGAAAATAAATGCGCACAAATTGACTATTATAAAATATATGTACATATATATAAATACATATGTTTACATAAGCACATAAAACACTAATGATATTAATTTTCGGGTTTTATGTTTCATATCCTGCGGCGAGTGTCCCAATTTAGTGGCCCACAACACAAATTGTCAAACGAAAATATGTGAAACATGTTCAAATTGAATAAAATGGTATTTGTATGCATTATAATTATTATAGCTGCATACTTTTGGTTGCCACCGTACAATTGATTGTGTTGTCTCTGTGGTGAACCGACTAGTGTGCGGCAGTTGTGGTAGCTCTTGGCTAATAATATTATCGCTTAAAGAGGCCTTTAGATATTGTGTATATTATTTTATATAAATATACCAAAAATTATAATATAAGCAGCTTATATATATATGTGTATATAAATATATATATAAATATAATAGCAGCATATAATATTATAATTTTTTAATATATATATATAATATATTATAGATTATAGTTACACTGTCACTTTTTGGAATTATTTTGGACTATTTTATGCCAATTTGTCATGAAAAATGTATGGGTAATCCATATCGAAATCGGCTACTAAGGAGTTTTTAAATTACCTTAGCGGTGAGAATATTGGAAATATCGATAAATTATCGAATTGCAATAAATGGAGATGGGACTTAAGCTGATTAGTTTTGAGTTGAATTTCATTTTGAGAACCTGAATCATAAATGGAAAATTTCAGAGTGTTCTATGGCGAAAAATATTTTATAATGCAACATGTGCCTGTTTCCACTCCAGCATAATGAATAGCCTACAATGCAATTTCAAGCAAATACGTTTATTACTTGAAATATACATTTTTTAACAATTAATCAATATCAATAACTGTGAAGAGCCCCAGAGATAATACCAATAAAATTTTACAGCCGCCTGTAATCAAGAGCCAAAAATAAAACAAAAGGAAAACTTTTACCCTAAATGGATAAAAGTAAAATTCCAGTTGTGTGTGTGTTTGGTGTGTGTGTGTGCGGGTGCGCGTGTCCACTTTTGCTGTCCGTGTGCGGCCATAAAGCAGCTCGTAAATTTCAGCACACTTGGCACGCGGACCAGTTGCAAGCTACCAGTTACCAGTTGCCGGTTGTCTTCGCCTTTTGCCACTGCAAATCGCCAGAGTTGCCACCCAGCGCGGCTTTTTGTCTGTGCCGTTATGTGGGCTGTCCGCTCTGTCCGGTTTTTGTGTTCATTGTATAACTGTAGCTTGTTTTCTTCTTCATTCTTCTTTCTTTTTTCTTGCCTTTTTTTCGTCCTCAGCTCAACAATGAAAATTCACGCTGTACAATTTTTCGCGGCGGTCATCGCTGTTGTTACACACTGTTACAGTGAGTGCTTTAAATGTGTGACGCAGCATGTAACGGGTTTTATTTGAGTTTTGCATAAGGATATTTTTTATTCGATGCGAAATTTTTTATCAACTCGCATATCTTGCTGGTGTGGAACAAGTCTCCGTGTATTACGCAAATCCTTAGTTACGCCGCCGCTCGCCATATCCTGGCTATATTCCAGTCGCTGTCACGGGTCACGAGTCGCAGTGTGTTTGTGTGTGTGTGTGTGTGAGTGTGTGTATGGAGGGAGGGTGTTGAACAATAGCTGTGAAATAATCACTTGCTTGTTTGCACTTTAGTAAGTGGAAGTGCGAGGCGGCATGTTCGATCTGTAGTGCAGCTTGTAACGCTTGAGGTGGCCAACTATGCGAAACGGAATAATAAAATTGAAACAACACTGAAACATGTCGCATACTTAAGTGTTTTGCAACACTATTAGAGAATAAATGGGTGAAGGTGCTTTTAAGTGCTTTTAATATTGTAATTTTGTTCAGTAGGCTAAATGATAGTTATACTTTTATAATTTACAACTACCGAATTTATGTAAAAACCTGATTTTGGGCTTGGATTATATGTATATAGTAGAACTTACTCAAAAATACTCAAAAGCCATGAATGGGTTATTATGGCTTATAGGTCTAGTATTATTAATTATTATATAAATTAATCATATAGTTGAATCTAAATGATAAGTGAATACCAGCAATGGCTGCCAGGGCCTTATTAACACTTAATTAATTTGAAACCCTGTATTGCTTAGGTATAGGGTTGTTGGTTCTAATTAATATTAGCCTACATTTTTATTTGTATATTTACATTGTAAGTTTGCTTGCTTACCTTAGTTTATTTAAATATCGCTGTGCAACTGAGATATTTTTTTAATTCATAGTGTAGACATATATTTAAGAGTATGTACCCAATGGCTAGGTCTTATATGATAGCCATTTTTTTAGTGACCTCTTTCCTAGTAGCATACAATAGGTATTTCTTAGAGAACTCTCGAGTCGAAATTGCCAAAACCTAAAACTTTTCGGCAATATTTAATTGCTTTACGAACGTGACCACGGAAAATGCCAATTTAGCGACCTTTAAGAACAAAGGAACAACTTGAAAGATATAAAGACCAAAATAAAAGGTCTCTACTCACGGTTATGTTTGAGTTCATGGAAATGTCGAAGACGCCGCCCGCTGACATAACGATGGGTTTCTGCACATTGTGCAGAAAATAACGCAATGTGGTCTTATAACGACGATCTGCACTCAGCCAATTGGAGTGAAAGAGACAGTTGGCGAGCTCCTCGCAGTCATCCATGATCATGTTGCAAATGTAGCAGAAGGGAAAGGTCTGCAGCACCAGATCACACAGAAATACAGCAGTGCCCAGGCCAGTCCAGAAATTTGAAAAGAAGAGTAAATTGATCATGGACAAGCCCATGACAAGGCCACAAAGCAGAAACTGTATGAAAATTGTGGCCGAAACAATGGGTCGTAGTGTGTTGCAATACCTGAGAAGAGCAGAAATTAAAATGCAAATTTGCTGGCAAATGATTCACTTTGGAATGAAAACTTACTCCAATATTACACGATGATCATCAATGCACTTGATTAGCTCCTCATAGTTCTGCTCTTCGCTCATCGTTGGATCTGTGCGCAGTCGTCGCAACCGCTGCTTCAGCAAACCTATGTGAGCTCTCAGTATTACAAAGTATATAACAGGATAAACATCGGCCATTAAATCCTGCATCACAGCGGTTGTCATCCAAAAGTATTCCATAAAGCCAGCCAGCCAAAAGTTCCGTGCACTCGTCTGCCAGTCAATCAGCGGATTGTATAGTTTCCAGGGCAGGCGACCGCTAAAGGCGTTAGATAGAAAAGTGGAGACCGTATACATAAGGTACATGGTCTGGTAGGCCATATAGAACTGATTGCAACGCGTCACAGCTCGATGCAGCTGGGCGTACTCCTCCACGCTGGCGCAGCGCTCGTCGAGGCGATCCAAGAGCTTCTTGGCCAGTTTAAAACGCCTGATGCCCGCAAATGTGTAGCTGGCCTTGATGCTGGAGCCAAAACAATTGAAGGACACTTGCAGCGAGGTGAGAAACTGACCCGCCGAAAAGGTGCTTAATTCCTTGAAGTAGCTGACCAACAGCGACACATCTAGCATAATTATTCCAAGCACCGTTGTGAAAACCGTCCACAAAAGATATATCCAGCGTCCATAGATGTGTTTCGGTGGTATCCAACCAAGCGATTGCATGCCACGATCCATATAAATGAACGCATCGCAGGACTTGACCGGCCCCGTGACGGCTCGCAAACGCAGTCGTGGGAATAGCTTGAAGAGCATGTTGCCGCGTGAGACTAGGATATGGCAATGGATACCACAATTTGACGCACAAAGCGCTTTTATACCACAGTCTTTTTTTCATCTTCTATATATATTTGTTTTTCCATGCTTTAATTATGCATCAAAAGTTGCCAGGAATGGTTTCTTGGCCTGCATTATTTAGTTGGACAGAATATAAGTTGGACCTGAAGTTTTTTAGCATTAGAATGGGAATTTTCTTTAAGTTTTACTAATAGTTTGACTTGAGTTTGAATAACTTTTTTTTTTTACCTTGAAGAACAATTAATTTATTATTGAAGATGTGAAGATAACTTAAAGCTTTAAGTCTGACAATTTCCTTGGGCGTAAATAAACAACCTTTTGTTAAATAGGAGTATAATAATAACAAAATAATGATTTTAGGTATTTAAAATATATTTTAACTATAAATGACAGTCTTATATACAGCAATATAGTCTTAAGAACTAGCGGCTGGTATTCTCTTCCTAATGCACTCCATATTGATGATAAATTGATTTAATTTTTCCATTTCGTACACACTTCTAAATGGTCAGAGCGCCAAATAAACGAGGCATCTATTGTTAACCAATATTGTGCGCATTGAGTGCACCAAGAAAAGCGGAAAAGCGGAAAATATGGCGTCGAATGGACACAGCTACACAATGTCAGCATTGCAGTCTCATCAGACAACTTTTGTTTGGCATGGTAGTCGGATCCATTTGCTTTGCTGACTGAGTTAAATTTGTGGTATTTGAAATACGCGCCTCACGCGGCGCATAAACTATTTTCTTACGGTACGCCTTCGAGCAGCAGGAGCCAAAAAGGATGCGGCTGCTTGAACTTTGCAAGGATTTCGCATTCATTGCTGCTTCCTACTCACAAGCGCACAAGTCTCTCTTTGTGTGTGTGTGTGTGTGTGCGTCATGTGTGCCCTATTATGTATCTCAGACTCTGTTTTTTTTTTTTCCCTCTTATTGAAAGCATCTGTGAGATATTTTTATAGAGCTACTTTATATATGTGTGCGTGTGTGTGTGAGTGTATGTGTGTACTTCCCCAGCTAAGTCCTTAGAATAAAAATAGAAGGAGAACAAGCACAAAATGCGCTGTCAACTTGAGCGACGGTTTATTTATATAACCAGCCATTAAAAGCAGCGCGCTTTGATCATCTTTTGTATACTCTAACAATGCAAGTCATCATATAGGGTATTCGAAAGCTATATTTAGATAATTCGCAGAACCAGCTTGGATGAATTGATAAGTGTTACACAATATAACTCGTATATAGCTGCTGTGAGTTGTATTGAACTCTAAGTTAGCTCTACGTATGCTTTATGAGAGCTTTTGTTGTGAAACCTCACTGCAATAAGAATATATGCTGAAAGTATTAAGCTGCTTTTTAAGCTATGCATTTACATATTTTATAGGTTTAAAAAAAAGCTAGATGTACGATATATTAGATGACTATATACGTATGAGCCAAATATAGTCCTAGATTCTAGCTTAATAATTAATTTTAAAAGCACATTAAAGCCCACAGTGTGAGTTTCAACATAAACAAAGTTTTAATTTTTTTAAGGAGCTTTTTAAGTAATACAACAAGTAATACAACAATTTAATGTAACTTAGCCTGTTTAGATTAATCTAAATCAAGCGCTTTTAACCAATGTCAATGCATTGGAAATCAAAGTTACACAGCTTTCATTTGCTTTCAAAGCTCTTCGCGCAGAATAATCTATTTTTAGTGTTAAGAAACAACTAAGAAGCTTTCCCGAATTAATATGATTGTGGCAAGGGTATATAAGTCCCGACTATTTGTTACTCGGAAAACTTTGTTGTTTTGCTGTTACCCTAATTTATCGCTTGCTGGCAATCAAATAATTCAAGTGCTGCAATCTAGAAAAATTACACGCTCTCTATGCAGCCATCTATTTTAGTTTTTTAATTAAAGAGCAACAGCAACGGGGAACAAAAAGGTCGCGCTGCTGCAACATTTGCCAAATACACAGACATAAATCAAACAAACGAGACGCCGTCTCAGTCTCTGTTCGCCGTCTGGCCATTGGACAAGGACGTGAGCCTGGACACGCTGCAGTTTTGATGTGATCCAACAGCTGGCAACTGGTTGAAAATTTGTGAATTGCATTGCCCCAAAATGCCCGTGGCCAGAGCTTGCGAGGGGCAACGGCTGGTCTGCACGGAGCTTAGGGTAAAGTTTTAGCCAAAAAACTAACGAGCATCGTGTAAACTGTCGCGTCGAGTTCTCATTAAACTTGCAACTAAAATGAAGCAAAAAACCCCAACGCATTAGTTTTGGTGCCCATATTCCAGCCAGGGAGTTGTAGCCCCCTCTCAAATCTCCGCTTCCTCCCCCTTTTCCCTTACATCATCTTATTTGGCATGTCAACATTTCGCAGCGACTACAAATTAGTTAACAGTCTTTTTTTGCGTGCCACACTTTGCGGCATCTTCGATTGGCGAATGCGCTGCTCAAAAAGCAAATAGATTTTTGACTTAAAAAAAAATAACTTGGAGTACTTGTTAGTTTTTGAATGTGAATTTGAATATATCCCTATAGTTCGTTCATTAACATGAAAAATAAAAATCGTTTAAAAATGGATATTGTTGTCAAAGAAAGTCTAAGCTCAATATGCGCAAAGTGAACATGGATGACTTATGAAAATGCTTAATCCGAAACTTAAATAATGGTGTTCTTATAAGAAATAATAAAAAATATGGCAATCGCGAATAGATAAGAAATATAAAAAATTGTGGTAGAATACAGTATTATCAAACCTTAATGTATAGCGAAGTATTAAGCAAATCAAATAAACAATATTTTCAGGCAATTAATACCGAATACCAATTAACCTTAAGGTCGCAAGAAATCATTCCGTCACGCCCTTGTACCCTACAAAACCAACTCTATAAACTTCTTAACAGAAAAATCTCACAACTTTTGTTTCTACGCATAGTTGGGAACATTGTCATTGTCTATAGCGCTCTCCCTCTCTCCGACCAGCTATTACCGAAGGTTTCCCTGCCCAAAAAGTATGCAGCACAATGCAACTAGAAATGGCATAGATGCAGGGCTTGGTCCCTGCTACCTCTCCTGCTACTTCCCTAGCCGCTGCCCATGGGCGTGTGTTGTGAGCAAACTTTTGTAACATTTATCTTCGTTATTATGACGCCCGAATGGGCTATCAGCGCCAAGTGGAGCGACTGTTAAATATTTGGAGAACAGCGACAGTTGCAGAACAGAATGCGTTCTGGCCCTAATGCGGGGCATCCAACGGGACAGCACAGCTACTGGCTAAGCATGTAACCCCTCCGTCCCCCACCCAACCAGCCCGTCTAGTGTCGAAAAATGCTACAACTTGTCTTACAGCAGAGACAAGGACTGGCCGGAGGGGGGGGGGGGGAGGGGTACTCCTAGCGACAGCACCACGTTGCATTCAGCGCGCCAGGATCAGGAGACCGGCAGTTGTAAACGGGAAGGAAATGGTAACTTTTTCCTGCACTTAATTAGTTTGGGCATAAGTGGAGCAGAAAAAGTTCTGCGCCATGTTCCAGCAAAGCAGAAGACGACGACGACGAACGACGAGCAGCACAGGACATTGCTGCAGGGAGGAACAGGACTCGGGCGAGGCGACGTTCCCGTTGCCAACGGTTTGTCATCTGTCTCTGTGTGTCCCTTGTGTGTGTGTGTGTGTGTGTGTGTGTGTTTGTGTGTGCGCGTGTGTGTTGCCAAGGAAATTGCCTCATAAATGTTCATTACACAGTTCTGTGCAACTGTCGAATGAATGGGCGGCGCCACCCATTGGGTGGCCAAATGGGCGTGGCCGCGTTTTCAAGCCAAGCATTATTGCAGCAAATAATTTTTGCACTGATTTATTAACGCAATTCAAGGGAAACAATAGATTCGCCCTTGCCAAGAGTAATAATAATAACTAAATGGCAATTTATATGACATATTGTTGCGATAGGAAGTGCATCTGCAGCTGAGCGCAAATTTGAAAGCGGGTTGTAAAAAACTGAATTATGATATGTTTTTTTGTTTATTTATTTCAATAAAATAGTGCTTCACTAAAAAGCTGAAAAGGGCGTAAAGTGAACTAATTGAAATATTGAAATATATTGCATTTAATAGATTGAAATCTGCGCGTGCTTTTCTCTTTTATTAATTATCTTTACAGTGCTTCCAATTAGTGATAGACACTTCTCGATACTTTGATAGTAACAATTGTAACTTTTTTACAGTCGCATTTAAATTTGTTCCTGCTTGCGACATGCTTACCTTTCCGGTTCACTGGAGTCTCTGAAGCCTATGAAAATGGTTGTGAAGGGGTATATTGCTTTTATGGAAATGAATGAAACAGGCAGAAGGAAGCATCTCCGACCCCATAAAGTATATATATATTCTTGATCAGCATCAATAGCCTAGTCGATCTAGCCATGTCCGTCTGTCTGTTCGTCAGTCCACCTTTCCGTCTGCCCTTCCGTCCGTCTGTCCATCTGCCCGTATGTATGAATGCGTCCATCTCAAAACTTATGAGAGCTAGAGACTTTAAAGGAACGTAGGCCACCTTAGTGCCTGCGCAGTACAATTTTGTTTGCGATCATCGATAACTTGTCCCATTCCGATAAATATCTATATCGAAATCATGTGTTTTTAGCAAATGTCTTTTAAGAGCGAGCTACATTTGGTGTTGGTATAAGAAGGTTTAGGGTATCGCGAAGTCAGGCACTGCCGACTAGAGTTCTTACTTGTTTGATTTTATGTCATTGGTAAAAATCTTATATTTTGGCTTTAAATTAGCAAAGGTCAGCTACAATTTCAAAGATATTAAGTAGTATATTTAATGCTCTACTATAAAGGATTGCAATGCTCTATTATGTTGTATATAAATTATTATATTATATTGTGTTATGCACAACTTATAGTATATATAATGAATTAACAATAATTTCTGAAACCCAACTCGTCAATTTAAATCACATT